TTTAAATACTGTTTAGCAAAATTTTACTTGCATGTGAAATTAATGATACCTTCATTACATTGGGTCACCTCTCTTTGGAATAGGCACTAATATGGGTCACTTCAAATTAGTTGGCCAAGTAACTGTCTTCTAAATTTTTTAGCATAGGTATGTGAATGCCTCTAGTGCTGCATCACTTTGTTGAAAGATTTTTTAATGTACATTCTATCACATAGCCTTGTTCTTTACCATGCCTTCAGTGAACCTTGGACATCTTCCTTCAGTACCATTGAATCTTCATTATAGTCTTCTTCTTTAAATGGTTGAACAATGATCATCACTTTTTCGTACAATAACATTTTCGGATCTTTTGGGGTTTTTTTCATCTTCTTTTGATGCTTTCTGATATTTTCTGCTTTCAATCAAGATCCATCAGACATCAGCAACGATATCTCTCTTTCCACAGTCTCTTCTGAATCTGGCTTGAACCTCTGGAAATCTCTGTCAATGTATGCTTGCAGCCATTTCTGTATTACCTTTAGTAAAACTTTACTCACATGGGATATCAAAGAGATTGTCCAATGATTTCAGCATTCCTTTAGGTCACCTCTCTTTGGAATGGGCACAAATTGGATCACTTCCAATCAGTCAGCCAAATAGTGTTCTTCCAAATATCTTGGCAGAGATGAGTGAGTGCTTACTGTGCTACCTCACTTTCTTGAAAGTTTTCAATTTTTATTCCATCAATTCCTGGTGTCTAGTTCTTTGACAATTCCTTCAATGCACCTTGGACTTCCTCCCTGAGTATCACTGGCTCTTGATCATATGGTAACTCTTGAAACGGTTGAACATTAACCATTTCCTTTTGGTACAGTGACTCTTTGTATGCCTTCCATCTTCTCTTGATGCTTTCTGTATCACTCAATAATTCTTCCAGAGAATCTTCAATAATGAAAGTCGAGGCTTGACTTTTTTTCGTCAGTTCCCTCAGCTTGAGAAATGCTGAGCGTGTTCTTCCTTTCTGGTTTTCTGATTCCAGATCTTTGCACATATTGTTATAATATTTGGCATTATCTTCTCAAGCTGAGCTTTGAAATTTTCGGTTCATCTCTTGTACCTTCTCATTTCTTCCATTTGCTTTAGCATCTCTATGCTCGAGAGCAAGTTTCAGTGTCTCTTCTGATATACATTTTGACCTTTTTCTTCTTTCATGTCTTCTTAATGACTTTTTGCTGTCTTCATGTATGATGTACTTGATGTAATCCCATAACTCTTCTGGTCTTTGGTGTTTAGTGTTTAATTTATCAAATCTGTTCTTCTGATGATCTCTAAATTCAGGTGTGATATATTCAAGGTCATACTTTGGCTCTTGTGGACTTGTTTTAATTTTTTTCAGCTTCAGTTTGAATTTGCATATGAGTAATTTATGGTCTTTTCCACAGTCTGACCCTGGCCTTGTTTGCATTGATGATATGGAGTTTTTCAATCATCTCTTTTTGCAGATGTAGTCAATTTGATTTCTATGTATTCCATGCGGTGTGGTCCATGTGTATAGTCATATCTTATGCTGTCTAAAGAAAGTATTGAAATGAACAAATCATTGATTTTGCAGTATTCTATCATGTGATCTCCAGCATCATTTCTATCACCAAGGGTATATTTTCCAACTACTGATCCTTCCTCTTTGTTCCCAACCTTTGCTTTCCAATTACCAGTAATGATCAATACATCTTGATTTCATGTTTGATCAATTTCAGATTGAAGAAATTGGTAGAATTCTTCTATTTCATCCTTATTGGCTTTAGTGGTTGGTGCATAAATTTGAATAATAGTGGTATTAACTGGGCTTTCTTTAGGCTTATGGATATTATCCTGTCACAGACAGCATTGTACCTCATGATTGATCTGTATATGTTCTTTTTGACAATGAATGCAACACCATTCCTCTTCTATTTGTCATTTCCAGTATAGTAAACCATGTGGTTGTCAGATTCAAAAGCCAATACCAGTCCATTTCAGCTCACTAATGCCTAAGATATGTTTATGTGTTCCATTTCATTTTTTATAACTGCCAGTTTTTCCAGATTCATACTTCGTACATTCCACGTTCCGATTTTCAATGGATGTTTACAACTGTTTCTCTTCATTTTGACTTGTGCCCCATCAGCAAATTATGGTACCATGTGCTTTACTCCCACAGGTTTTGCTCCACTTACATCATCATGCTCTACTCTAGTTTGAGGAAGCAACTCTTCCCCAGTGTCTTAAATTTTTAGTGTTTTCCAACCTGAGGGAGTCATTTTCCGGCACTATATCTTGTAGTGTTTCTTTGCTATTCATAAGGATTTCAGTGACTAAATATTCAGAAGTAGCTTGTCACTCCTTCCTAGTCTGTCTTTTTCTGGATGCTCATCTGAAACCTGTTCACCATGGGGTGACAATGCTGGTATTTAAAATAACAATAGCATAGCTTTCAGAATCACAGCAACTCAAAAGCAACCACAATACAACAAACTGACAGACAAATGATAGTCCATATATAAATACAAATATATATATATATATGTGTGTGTGTGTGTGTGTGTGTGTGTGTGTGTGTGTATATAGAAATCCAGTGTATATTTATAGATGAGTGAGAGTTGTTTTATGGGAAGCTCAGGATACAGTCTCTCTTGACAAATGTTCTTGGACTATTGTATAAAAGTGTGCTTTCTATTGTTGTTGGGTGAAATGTGCTAGCTGTTCTGTTTATAAGCTTTAATAATACTATTTTTGTCTCAATTTTTATTCAGTTAAAGCTGATTTTACCTTTTATGATTCATTCTGTAAGAAAAGGCAAGTGTCATTTTTTATAGTGCTTAGTTATCTCGAGCTGCTATAATAAAGGTACAACAAGCAGCTTGTATTTTTGTATAATGCACTGGAAGACTAATTGCAAAGTCAGTGGTTCAAATCCACCAACCCACTCCTCAAAAATCTACATAGTATTGATATGTGTCTAAACCAACATGATGGCACTTACCAACAGCAAAAACAACCTAAAGTCCTTGTGTGATACTGTAGAAGAAGCTCTGGACTGCTAATCATATGGTCGGTGAGTCAGGCCCATCAGTCTGTACTCAGAAACCCTATATAGGGTCTCTATGAATAAGAACTGAGATGATATAACTTAACAACAACAATACCTGGAGAATATGTACAATGAACCTATATTTAAAACAACGAAAATACCACTTGCCGTGCAACACTAACCCTTAATCTGCTCATTGATCTTATTGAGAATTACTTGGGATGTGGATGGGGATGAGCCTGAAGGTGAAAAATGTCAATGACCACTGTTGAATACTGCCCAGCCCTTTGAAGAAATTTTTTTAATGATGGGATGCAGTTAAATAAATACTAAGAAAATTGAACGGGCTGTTGGAAGAATACAAAGACAAAATAATGAATAGATGAAAAGGGAAACAGGAAAAAAACAAATATATCTGTCACTTCATTGGAGTCAACAGTGGTCTAAGAAGCAGTACTTCTGAGATTTTCCCTTCCTTGAATTCTTCTTAGGCTTCTACAAAGACATCCTTAGATAACAACTACTTAAAAAAGAAACACCTAATACATTCTCAAGTTCACAAAGAAAATATAACTTCTTTTCCTCCCATCTCTTGGCGCTATCTTCAACTCTATCCACATTATCTTCTGTTTCTATGATAAGAATGACACATTGTCTTTTATTTAATTAATTTATTTGTTGTATTTTATATAAACATTTATGCAATAAATTAATTTCCATTTGACAGTTTTTATACAAATTGTGGTATCCTGGTGTGGTGTTATAGTATAAGCACTGGACCTTAAGGTGTGTTTGAACTGCAAAGTTAGTGGTTCAAATGCACCAATCAATCCTCAGAAAACCTATATTGGGTCACTGTGAATCAGAATCAGTTAAAGGCACTAAACAACAACAACAACAATAATAATACAAATTGTACTGTGAAATTGGTTACAATTTTGTAATCATTTTGTACAATTTGTGCTGTGATGTTGGTTACAAAAGTGACATTGGTTACATTTTGTCATCATTCTCATTATTGTGATTCTGTTTTTTTATGTGACTATTGATCTAGTCTTCTTTCCCCTCTTGCATTCTTCATGTTGCATCATGGGTGATACTATTTATTATATAAGCCAATTTATTTTATGGCTGAAGTATGAACTGAAGATGTGTTTTCTGTGCCATACTCAATGAGAATCTTAGGATGATAGTTTTGATCTAGTTAGCATTGTATCACTAGTATATAACAACAAAGGAAATACACAAAGTACCCAGGAGATACTTAGCTATCTTTATACTTATTTTGTTTGTACTTAAGGTAAACTTTATTATATTGTTGTTAAGTGCCTCTGAATTAGTTCAGAGTCCTACCAATCCATTGCATAGGCTTTCTGAGCAGCAGCTGATGGGTTTGAGCCACCATTCTTTTGATTCAAATGGACCTTGTGATTCAGTGCTTATAGGTAGGAAAATGTAAGGTCTAGTTCTCATAGTCAAATAAAAATGGAAACACTTAAAAAGGAAGCTCCTATGAAACTTTCAAGCAAATTTTTCTCTCTTTAGACTTGTATATTGGAATCTATCATAGTCAGTTCTGTTTTTTAAAACTAAAATACTAATAAAAAATACAATTTAACTTTCTGCTACTTCTTGAATGTTAAGCTTCTAGTGTATATGTTTCTTAAGAAATAATTAAGCCTTCTTCAGAAAAGTTAACTATAAAACTAGTATTCCTCCCTAGCCAAATATACTATTGAGCATTTTATATGTGCCAAAAATATATTAATTTTCACATATCTTTAACAGTAAAGCATGTAAACTGATATGAAATAATGTCATTAATTATATTATTTGAGCTAAACTACCATTTTGATCATTTTTTCATAGTCTTTCTTTGTACCATTTAAATAAGTGTGGGTTGAAATCATGAGTTTTTAGATGTTTCTGTTCAAAAGAATATCTACTTCTTTCATTGCTTGATCCACTTCTTCAGAAATCTTTGCAGAGCCTCTTTTACCTCTTTATTCCTCAGAGTATAGATAAGTGGATTCAGCAGTGGTGTGATCACAGTGTAGAAGAAAGTGAAGAATTTGCCATGTTCAGAAGCAAAACTGTTTTTAGGGTCTGTATAAGCCATTGCCACTGTCCCATAAAACATGAAGACCACCAGAAGATGGGAGGAGCAGGTTCCAATGGCTTTCTTCCTGCCATCTTCTGACTTGATTTTCCTCACAGCTTTAGCTATATAGCCATAAGAAGTTAGGATCAATCCAACAGGCAAGATGGTGAGGAGGATGGCAGAGATGGTTATCTGCCACTCATTAGAAGAGGTATCTCCACATGCCAGTCGTATCAGAGCAGGCACCTCACAGAGAAGGTCATCTATGTGGTGGTGGGCACAGAAGGACATCTGGAGTGTTATAGGAGATTGGATCAGAGATTCCACCAGGCCAGACAGCCAGGCCACAAGGGCAAGCTTCCAACAGAGAAGAGGATTTATAATGATGGTGTAGCGCAGCGGATTGCAGACAGCAACATAGCGGTCAAAGGCCATTACTACCAGCAAGACACATTCTGTGGCACCAAGACAGAGGAAAGCACAGAGTTGTATTACACAGCCCGTGTAAGTGATGGTCTTGTCAGGCCCCCACAAGTTTGACAGCATCTGAGGCAATGTGGTTGTGGTAAAGCAAAGCTCCAAAAAGGAAAGATTGCTAAGAAAGAAATACATTGGTGTGTGAAGGCGAGGGTCTACACAAGAGAGCACAATGATCATCAAGTTGCCAAAAATGATCATGATGTAGAAGACTGCCACAATCCAGAAGAGAATGTTTTCCAACTGAGGCCATTCAGAGAAGCCTAGAAGGATGAAGCCCACTGGAAAACTTGTGTTGGTCATTCCTGTTGTATTTGACATTAGGGTTAAGACATAATTGTAAGTAGAAATTTGTAAAATGAGTTTGGAGAAAAAGCTCCACTGTTGGTTATTCAGAGAAGACAGACATTATTACTTGACGAGTAAATCTTGAGATATAAAACATGACTGTTAACCCTCCCGTTAAACAAATAGAATGCAGTCTTCCTTTATTAAGACTGTGTTGTTTACATCAAATGAACATTTGTGAGATACTACCCCTTGGAATTCATCTATAAAGTCTGTAATCACAACTTGAGTGGACACCCTCACGATTACCTTACAACACTGGTATGTTCCTCCAAGATGATTTTTTCAGTCTTGTAGTAGTTACTTTAAAATAGTTGAAATGAAATGGTGATCACCAAGCCCGATCTTTCAAATATGTAGTCATTTGATACAGTAAAGCTTGATTTAGCATGAGCAACACAGGCACAAATCAGTGTTTTTACTCTACAAGAATCTGGGTCATAGGTTGTGAAAAAAAGATTAAGGAAGTAGACAAACAATGCATAAATGTGAGGAGAATGTTATGATGGGCAAGCTCTATTTAATAACAATTTCATAGCTATTCATTGCATGCCATATGCAAGACACTGTGCTATGCCCTGTAAACAATACAGCTGGAATTCTATTTTTATAAAACTCACACCTTGTGCCAGAGAGACACAGCAAGTACACAAATGAACAAACAAATAAATCAACATTAAGATGGAAATCAAGGTAATATAGTTGAAGATAACAACGGTGGATATAAGAAACAGTCAGAACATTTCACACAAGAATAGAGGAAATACTTTGCCGTGCTGAGAGAGAAAGGTGTCAGCCCCAGAAAGGCTAGCCTGATGGGCAATGTGGAGAAAATACATCTTTAGGACAGGGTGTCAAATACCTCAGTGGGATTCAGCTTCCCTAAGTTCTCATGATTATTTTCCAAAACCAATTTTGTTTACTTCTTTAAAAAAGGCACTCTAGATTAAGTACAGAATACCCATCTCTTTTCATCAGACTATACCACATAGGAGTCCTGGTATGCACTGTGGATTTATGTGCTGGACTGCATACTCGTTTGAACTGCAAGGCCAGCAGTTCAAGCTCACCAGCTGCAATGTGGAAACTTTATACAGGGTTGCAGCTGACTCAATGGCATTTAAAAACAACAACATACCACATCTTAAATTCAGTCAGCTTCTACAGATGTTTTTATTGTGGTTGTTAAAGGCCATTGAGTCAGTTCTGATCCACAACAACCATGTAAAGGGTTTATACATAACTTAATCTGGCTCATAATACAATACTATTTTAAACTGGCATTTATTCAGAAATTTTCAAGATGCCTCTCTGTAATTTTGCCCTTAAAATATTACTCTGTGGAGTGAAATAAGTCAGTCATAACACACAAACAAAATGTATGATCCCCCTTATATGAAATATCTAGAATAAGAAAATGTATAAAATTGAAAGTTCACTAGTAGTGACCAGTGTTTGCAGAGTATGAGAAAAATAATTCCTTAAGGGACATGATATTCTGTTAATGAAGGTAGTGGTTGTGTGTTGTTGAGTCAGTTTTGACTCAGTGACCCTGTAGAGTGTTGCCGAGGTTATGAATCTTTATGGGAACAGAAAACTTTGTCTTTGTCTCATGGAGAGGCTGGAGGATTCAGAGTGCTTATCTTGTAGTTGGCAGTCCAATGGGCAATCCACTACACTATCAGGGATACTTAAGCCTGTTAATGGTAGTGGAATATTTTGGAAACAGGTGGCATAATATAGTAAATATAACTGATATTGCTCAGTTCTGTGTGTTGTTGAATAGTTGGATATTACAGTTATTATTAGGTGCCAGGGAGTCAGCTAATACTCATAGCAACCCTTTGCACAACAGAATGAAAGTTTGCCCAGCCCTGCACCATCCTAGCAATTCTTGTTGAATCTGAGCCATTGCTACTGCCAGTGTACCAACCCATTTCATTGGGGTCTTGCTTTTTTTTCACTGACCCTCCACTTTACCAAGTACAATGTCTTTCCCCAGGAGTGGGTCTCTCCTGATAATATGCCCAAAGTATGAGAGTATATATCTCATTATCCTGGCTTCTAAGGAGAATTCTGGCTGTATTTCATCCAACACAGATTTGTATATTGTTTTGGCAGTCCATGGAACTTTCAGTATTCTTCTCCAACACCGTAACTCAAATGCATCAATTCTTCTATGGTCTTTCTTATCCATTTACAAATTTTCACACGCATATGAGACTGTTAGAAATACCATGGCTTAGCCCTCAAACTGATATTTTTCCTCTTGGACATTTTAAAGAGGTCTTGTGTAGTAGATTTGCCAAATACAATACATTGTTTGATTTCTTGGCTATTATGTCCATGAATGTTGATGTAGATCCAAGCAAAATGAAGTTTTTGATAGCTTCAAACTTTTCTCCATTTTTCTTGATGTTATTTATTAGTTGAGTTGTGAAGATAATTGCTTTCTTTACAATGAGATGCAATCCATAGTTAAGGTTGCAGTCTTTGATTTTCATCAGAATTTTAAGTCATCATCACATTCAGCAAGGAAAATTGTATCATCTGCATACCTCAGGTTGTTAATGAGTCTTCTTCCCATCCTGATGCCATGCTCTTCTTCATATAATCCAGCTTCTCAGATTATTTACATAGAATACACATTAAGTATGTATAGTGAAAGAATAAAACCCTGGCACACACATTTCTTCATATTAAATCATTTACTATCCATTGTTCTATCCAAACAGTTGCCTACTTTATGTATCACATGAGGTTTCACATGAGCACAATCATGTGTTCTAGAATATCCATTTTATGCAATATTATCTTGTCATGATTCACACAGTCTATAGCCTTTGCATAGTCAAAAAGCATAGGTAAACATTATTCTGGAATTTTTTGCTTTCAACGAAGATCCGTCTGACATCAGCAATGATATCCCTAGTCCCATGTCGTCTTCTGTATCCAGCTTGAACTTTAGGCAGTTCTCTGTTGATGAACAGTTACAGTAATTTTTTAATTATCATCAACAAAATTTTACTTGCATGTGATGTTAATGATACTGTTTGATGATTTCTACTTTCTATTGTATCAGCTCTGTTTGGAATGGGCACAAATATGGACTCTAGTACCCCAAATTGGTTGGCTAGGTAGCTGTCTCACAAATTTTCTAGCATAGATGAGTGAGAAGATCCAGTGCTGCATCAGTCTGCTTAAGGATTTCAGTTTGTATTCCATCCATTCCTGGAATCTTGTTTTTGCTGATTGGACTTCTTTATTGCAACCTTGGACTTCTTTATTCAATTCCATCAATTCTTGATCATCTGCAATCTCTTGAAATTGTTGAATATGAGCCGTTTCTCTTTGGTACAGTGAATTTGTGTATACCTTCCATTTTTTCTTGATGTTTGCAAATTATATGTAATTGAATTGAGTGCTGATGTGGTGCTGTAGGATAAGGCACAGGACTGTAAGGGTTGGCTTGTATGGCACCAGCTGCTCCTTAGAAGTCCTATACAGATTCATTAGGAACCTGAACCAACATGTATACTGTGTTGTTGTATGTGAGAATGAACCCCAAAGCACTTAACAACAACAACATATACATGCAAATAAATAAAGATAAAAATATAAATATATGTAAAAATACCATGATTTGTGTCAGGAGCAAGTTCCTCTTCAAGCAGATATCTATGAATCTGTGAAAGAACTTATAGCATCCTTTTACTTTACTTAAAGCACAAGTGATAACAGCCACAGATATCACTGTAAATCAGAAAGTCAGGAAGTGGGGCTCCATTACGGATATAATTTTCATTTCTCTAATTCCATGCTATTTTCTATTTATGGGTTATCTGTAAATACTTCTTCCCTGAAATGTTTACCTATGCCAATATTCATTTTTAGTTGATATGTTTATCTTATGATTAATTTGCAAAAATTATAATACATTCCTGACTTTTGATTTCTTGGTCATTCATATAAATTTCCCAATTTAAAAATTGTCTTGTTGCTGTTGTTAAGTGCCATCAAGCTGGTTCCAAATCATAGTGACCCTGAATAGGGTTTCTGAGATTTTCATCTTTGCAGGAGCAGAAAGCCTCATCTTTTTCTTGCAGAGTAGTTGGTGGGGTCACACCTTTGACCTTGGGGTTGCCAGCCCTGTGTTTATCCTACGGATCAAACACAATCACCTCAACTTATCCTATTATGGATAATCTTTGCATAGTGTCTTCAGAAATATTTTCCCTTTTTTTCCAATCCTCACTTATTTTCCTTGGCATTTTCTTAATTCCACAGCTCATAGTTTAGACGTCTCTTTACTCATACATTTGGTTTAACAATGCATAGTCAAGTTTTAATACATTTAAACCTTGAATCAGTTTGAATAGTTTGCTTGTTTTATTTTTTCATTGTGATAGAAAATTAGATAATTTACTCCCAATTAGTTGCTAAACTTTTAAAGAAACTTGCTGAAGGATACTTTCTCAGTTTAATTCATTGAAATGCTGTTTCTTTCTACTTGTAGTATCCAAATCTCAGAGTTTTGCTAGAAGCATAACTATATATTTTTAAACAATCCTCTACTGACTCTTAATGCCTTTCAATGTTAAGGATTTTAAATTTTCACTGCTGAGATACTAGAAATGCAGTAAAAATGTACATTAAAGCAGTCATAAAAACAGTTGTGTGTGTGTTTCAAATGATAATTTCTACAACCAATTTACAGCAAAGGGAACTTGTGGCTACACAAAGATCAACGAAAATTTGTTCATCATCAAATACATTCAGATTAATGAAGTTCCACAGAATATAGCAGAAATTCTCCTTAAGTCCATGGAAATGCAGATTTTTAATTGTCCTATCTCTGATCTTTTTAATATTCCTATTTTACCTTTCTACTTTAGAAAAGTAAGTAGCTTACCTGGATTGGGAAGTTTCTCAGTGACATAATAGGCAAAATCTAA